AACTAAGATGTCTAACCAGGAGAAGAGAAAACTTATGTGGAGAACATGGTAGTTTGTTGAAGATTTGTCACATGGAAGAGGGATGAAAGCTATATATTTTGGCCCCAAGGGGCAGAATTAGGAGCAGTGGATAAAAAGTGTAGAAAGGAAGATTTCAGACCAGTGTAAGGAAATACCACCTAAAAGCTAAAACTAAGTACAAGTGAAAATGGGCTGCCTCAGTGGGTAGTGAATTCTCTTCATTAGAGAGGGCCTTTAAATGAGAGCTAGGTGACTACTTGCTGGGGGTATAGAAACCCTTTATATATCCAGAATTTCTGCCCATCGAACCACATTCGAACCCTCAATCCTCATCCCAATTCTGGAACCATAATCAAAACAATCCTGACTTTGCTACTACTAAGATTATGTTAATCTATCCTCCTATGACTCCACTTAGCATTCCCATAAATTTCCAAACTACAGTAACCACTTTAGTTACTATTCCCCAATTTTTGTCATTTTCTTTATTAGAATAAATTCCTTGAGGGAAGTGGAAGTGACTGCCCTTGACTTTTTGTATTTGTATCCTGGGCCACTAGGTGGCACAATGGTTCTAATTCAGGACCTGGAATCATGAAGGCTCATCTTCCTGGGTTCAAATCTGGCCTCAGATGCTTACTATTTGTGTGACTCTGGGCAAATCATTTACCCCTCTTTGCCCCAGTTTTTGCATCTATAAAATGTGTTGGAGAAGGAAATGACAAACCATTCCAATATCTTTGCCAAGAAAACTCTAAACGGGGTCATGAAGGGTGAGACGTGACTAAGCAATAACAAAACAACAACATAACACAAGAAGTTCATACTGGAGGCTTTCAGGGATCCATTTTTAAGTTATCTCAAAGAAAATTCCAAAAGAATGGGGGGAGGTAGGGATATAGAAAAATCACTGATAGAATTTTATTTTATTTTATTTTTTGGCTATAACCAAGTTACTAACAACTCATTTCCTTATCTCTATAAAATCTTTATGAAACTGTCCTCATCCACACATGTATTGAGATTATCCTTGCGGAAAATACAAACAGGGAGGTTACTGCAGATGACTGCCTATAGCAAAGCACATCTCACAACTGATTGAGGGGGGCAGAGGATACAATAGCTTGCTTTGTTTATTGTTTGTTGTTTATTTTTGAAAAGCAGTGGGCTCAGCAGAACAAAATGTAGCCTTGTGGACTCTGCCCTAACAAGGTGTGGCATATGCATATATTGTGGTCATACAGTATTCCTTGATATAGGCAGTCACAGAGATACCGTTGTTTACCAATTACCATCTTGGCAACTGGGGCAAATAGGATTGCCAAAGGTGTTTGCCTCAGCCATGGAGAATGCTTGTGCAGAGTCCTAATAGAAAAGGAATGCCCTTTCCGGTGTGTGTGTGTGTGTGTCTGTGTGTGTGTGTGTCTGTGTGTGTGTGTGTGTGTCTGTGTGTGTGATGAACCCCTTTGGCAGTGGCAGTATGATAAAGCCTATGGACCCTTTCTCAGAACAATATTTTTAAATGAATAAAGTAAAACACATAGGCTTATAAAGGAGCTCAATTATATTGAAATATACTTATCAAAATATGTATTCTTAAAAATTAAGTTTAATAACCCCAAGTTAAGAACTCCCACACAGAGAGGTCCTCCAAATATTCTTTTTTGGCGATGATATTTTATTTATTGTATTAAGTCTCAGATTATCATAAAGCAACCTCATTGAGATTCTTGGCCGGTCTAAAGACATCATCAACCTGACACTTAACCAAGGAGATGAAAAAAGATGAAAGAAGAACCAAGGAGATGAAAAATACCTATGTGTCCAGACTGTGACATGCAGCTGCATGGGTAGCCCACTGAGTTGTTCCATCAGTCCCTGCTTCTTGGGCAAGAGTTTCAGATGGACAAAAAGCTAGACTAAGAGTCACAAAGGAAAAAGAGGGCGGGATGGATGGCATGTAGAAAACTGTGATGAGTCTTCATAGAGTGAGGATGTGGGGCAAAGCCCCAGACTCGCTTGGTGTGGCCAAGTTTGCTGTAGGTATGAGACAAAAAGCCCTTTTGGAATTTAAGTGGCCACATTCATTTCTTAATTGGCAGAGATAATGGACTTGCCCTGTGGAATGAATTTCCTTGGTGAGTTCTACTCTGTGCAAGAGAGGCAGAGAGTTTAAAAACAGAGGAAAGAAAGATTAGTGCCTAGAGCTGGGGTCCTGCTTTGTCAGGAAGTGGCAGGTTTCAGAGCTAAGACAGAGGGAATGGAACAGAAAATGAAGCTTTTCTGGTCCTGGTATCAAGGGTACCGAAGGAGTCGAGAAGTGCCCTCGCCAGAGATTTCAGCTGAGTCAAAAGTTGGAAGTAGTGGAGATTGTTACCCACCAGCACAGCAATGTGCCCTGTAAAAAGCAGGGCCAATGAGCAGAGCCAGGCAAGACCACAGTCCGTAAAGAATCAAAACTACAGATGATCCTGAGGGCAATGTAGAGGCATATGTGGGCATAAGTAAGCACTGACATGTAACTAACAGTGACTTACATGCAAAAAAAAGTTGCAATAAAAGTTATTATAACAATGAAATGTATGATCTGAAAAACAGGTGGGCTAGTAACTGCAAAAATGAAGGGGAGTTTAAAGGGTGGTGTCAGCATTGTTGCCACATACCCCAGATACATATCTATAAAGCATCCACTTCATGACCTTTCATCCATCCCTCTTCCCTTTTGCAACTGGCCCTGCCCACCCCAATCACCAACTCTTTCACCCCTTGACCCTTTCCTCCCTCTCCAACTCCAACACTGGTACACAAGGTTCAGTAAAGCAGTCATTGCTTAAGGAGAAAAAGTATGGCTTGGCAAAGAAAATTGAATTGGTGAATAGAACCAAAATGAGTCTTTCATTAGAATATATAGTCAGTCAGTCAGTCAGTCAGTCAGTCAGTCAAATAAATGCTAGTTGACTCAGTATCATCAGACTATGTGACCAGCCCGGCAAAGACTCCTGCCTACTGGTACAGGGAAAGCAATGATAGGCAACCTTTTCTATTTTGATGACATTTTTTTAGGGGGAGGTCAGGCTGCTAAAAATCTCCTTGTGGGCAAGTCATTCACCAAAATTGCTTACAGGTTAAAATGGCAAATGTAACTGGGTAATGGACATAGAAAGGAGCAAGGATGCTAATGTATATGGAATTTGCAGGCTTTGGACAGTATTTGGTGATAGGAGAGTAGGACAGGAGACTAAACTGGGGAGAGATTAAACTCTGTCCTTCAATTGAGCTGGATTCAGTCTTTTTTATTTTTATTATTACTTTTTTTGTTATTCAAAAGTATTTTAAATTCTTGAGAAGAAAGATCCAGGTTCAGCCAAGAGATGATTCTTATCACTCTGAAAGATCCAAGGAAAGAGAATGGAGAATGGAAAGAAGTTACCTCCTAGGTGCTGAGTGAGGAGAAAATTCAAGTCACAGGACCAGGGACAAGAAACTCAGTCAAGATTTCCCTCTGCGAATAACTCCAGGCAGCTTTGTCAAGGTTTTGTTTAAAAAAAAAACAAAAAAACCAGCAGCAGAAACCACAGATCCTAATCCCATAACTTCTCCAATGTGGAATACTTTCAAACTAGAGATGACCGCATTTGCCTTTATTTCCCAGGAGTTTGTTCAGCCTTCTCCATATTTTTGGCTTATGGCTGAGGGGTTGGTAGGGACTGGCTTCATCAGATCAAAGGGGAAACTGGCCCTCTAAGCCAGCTCATCCTTGCTTCCTTCAGTCATTACGATCTGGCATGAGTTCCTGCTGACAGGGCGCTTTCCAAAGTAATCATTGGGAGAGGGGGTGTCATATTGACCCAGAAGCTCACTAGGAGTTTATGGAGAAACTTGGTTTGGGAGACCCTGCTTGAGGTCCAGAGTCAAGAAAGGCGGGGTGGGGGTGGATCTGTTTACCACCAACCCAGAGCAAAGCTGCCTTGCAATCATTCAACAACCAACAAGGTTTACTATGTGCCAAGCACTGTACTAATTAGCCCAGAAGATACCCAAAGCCACAAGCCCATGTCTAAGCATCATTCAGAACAAAAACAACCAAAAAGAAGCAACAGCAATTTTTTGACTTACAAAAAAAAAAAAAAGCCAAACCTAAGGAACCCAGTGCTTATGACTTTGGCAAAGAAAGGTCTCATAGTCCCTTTGGGGTGGGAAGTTTCTCACTTTGTCTTAGTTCCTAAAGCACCCATAGGTATGAAAACTTCAATTATTGACCTTGCAAGGTGCTCTTAGGGATATCTGCTAAACTGCTTCCTCTCATCCATTAGGTTTGGCCTTTTGGCCCCTGGACTCTCGACTGTTGTTTGGGGGAATTACTAACAGAAACTGGGAACTTTCATTTCCTTGTGCCTGGGGTACACATGGGTTAGGTACCCTGCCATGACATCTGGGAATAAAGTTAGGGAAATAATTCGTGAAATTCTGGCACTTAAGCTGTCCATCTCTAACCACCACACCATCTAGCTTTTCTATCGTTAGGGATTTCTCTCATATGCTAAATGATGTCAACAAAAGGGGATGAGTCATCTGCCCCCAGCCCCACTTTCCTATGAGCACGTGGTTCTGTGTGTGTAGTTGTGTATGTGTGTCTGTCTGCTGTGTTGGTCTAATCATATAGAGGTCTGTGAGAGACCACTGGGAGATACTTTGGGATAGGGGGTTGCTATTGTTCTTTCTCTCCCCCTTTCCCCTCCCCCCTTCCAACTCAGTTGCAATAAACTGATGCTTGAGAAGCTGAGAAAACCAAGACATGCAGCAAAACAGAAAAACAGTCCCCTACATCTGAGGCTACCCTCTCCCATGCCTGCCAAAGCCTGATCATTTTCCCACAAGAATATTTGCCGTAGCTTTGTTCAGTCTCATGATAAACGTCTGTCCCCAAACTCTTCCAAATGGAACCTGTCTGAAGAGGATATTCAGATGGGGAAACTCACCCGGAGGAGGGATCAAGGTCCTTCAAATGCCAGTGGCAGCAGAAGCCTCAGGTCCTGCTCCTCTGTCTTCTGCACACATCCAGGCATCGGAGTGCCCGGGGGCGCACACACACACACACACACACACACACACACACACACACACACACAGATGAGGCCGTCCCGTTTAATATTCCACAGGCATATTTTCTCTGTCTTCTTCCTTCATACACCCAACTTGTTATTTGTGGTGTGGCTTTCCTTGCTTCCTTGCCTCTTGATTACTGTCTCAGTAGCTGCCTCTCCCTCTCGCTCCCTCCCTTTTTCTCCCATGCTCCTGTGAATTCGCGGTGCTATTCTTTTTTTTTTTTTTTAGGGACTTTTTTTTGGTTGCGTCAGGTCAGTTGCCTGGCGACGGCAGAGCTATTCTACCACAAGTCTTTTCAGTTCAGATTTTCTCTCTCTCTCTCATTCATACATACCACTAAGCCCAGAATCCTACCTCCCACCCTGTAATCACTCCGAAGAGCCTAAAGAAGACCGAACTAGCTGGGTCCTAGAAACCTTCTCATTCTGCATTCTCAAAAGGGACTTGAACTGAACCATGAACTTCGAAGAGGAACACTCATTTGCTGAACTCTGAATCAAATAAACTCAAATAAAAACACATGCATGCATACACGTGTCTATTGACATACATGGTACAGGCACACAGGTATACATACACGTGGAATAAATACATACATGTACATGCATATGGGCATGTCTACACGTATTTTTTTCTACTGTGCCATGAACAAAACCAGAGATTTTTAAAGCATGCCTAGTGATTATAATTATAAATATAATATTTCATTATAAAAATATTATTACTATTTTGTGTCATAAATAATAAATGTATTATTTAAATCATTCTATATGTGTGAAAGAGACAACTTTGCTAACTTTGTAAATAACAGATAATAGTTGGGCACTGACCATATACCCAGCACTGGGCCAGATTTTTGGCTGAATGGAGTATAAGACATAGTTCTTGCACCCCAGAAACTAAGTCTAGTCAGGGCCATGAGACGTTCCTCATTAAATCTTCTCAGTAATACAATGATCCAAGACAATTCCAAAAGGACTCTTGATGGAAATTGCTATCCACATCCAGAGAAAGAACTGTCTGAATGCAGATTGAACATACCATTTTCACTTTCTTTATTTTATTTTATTTTTTGCTTTTGGTCCATTCTTCTTTCACAATATGATTAATAGGGAAATATTTTACGTGATTGTACATATATAACCTATATGAAATTGCTTACCCTCTTAGGGAGGGGGGAGGTAAGGGAGGGAGGGAGAAAGTTTGAAACTCAAAAAAATTTTTAAATGAATGTTAAAAATTGTCTTTACATGTAATTGGAAAAAATAAAATACTGTTTTTTTAAAGGTAATTTGTGCTGAGATGCAGACAGTAACTGTTACAGGAGCTCTGAGGAATCAGTCATGTAATACCAGATCTGAGTGGGACCTTAGAATATTAAACATAGATTGTCAGACTTGCTACAGTATAAAGTAGAGGGCTTGGGAAAGAACTTAGAAACAAAATATCGGGACTAGAAGGCAGCTAAGAATATAGAAGGGTAGCACTAGGAAAGATCTTAGAACATAGAATGTCAGAGCTGGAAAGGCTCTTAGAGATCATGTAGCACAATCCTCTAATTTTTATAAAAGAAAAAATTAAGGCTCATGGAGAGGTAGTGATTTGCCCAAGGTCCCACAGCTAGTAAGTTAGAGCTTGAGTCTCCGTCTCTCGAACCCCAGATCAGTGCTTGAATTCCAGCAGCAAACCTAGACCTGAGTCATGGTAGCCACGGCATCACAGAATACAGGCCCCTTGGAAGGGGGTGTGGGCTTGACCAGACCCTATGGGAGTCTCTCCTCTGCTTCCTCACCAACACCAGGTACTTAAAAGATGGTAGCAGAGACTTTAAGCAGTAGTCAAGTGACCTCATATCAGTCATTATTATTACTCTGACACTTCCAGGGCGACTTTGCATTGGAAGATGCTGCCCTGGACCTACTTTCTGTGCTTAATTAGCAGAGGTAAGGAGAGAAAGAGGGCATATTTAATATCAGCTAGCATTTGTTTGTCCTCTCATTGGCTGACTCAGCTGCCAGTCAGTATCATCATAGCCAGGAAAATAGAACAGACAGACTGATGGCCAATCTGTGGCCTTGGTGGCAAAAGGCAAAGAGAATGATCTCCTCCCCCTCTACTGTCCTATCATGTCTCAGCCCCTACTAAAAGAAAGCTCCTTCTGAGGTCCCAGGGACCAATCCCCTCCACCCACCCACTCACTCACTGCCTCCTCCTCTATGTCTGTTTTCCCAGGGCAATAGTTCATACTCCAAATCTCTCTCTTCCTACCCTCTTCTCCTCCCTATACCCTATAAGTGGCAATTTGCTAACCTGAGAAATCATCCTATGCTAGAGCTGACATGCTATCGGAAGGAAAAAAAATAACTAGACTTTTTGCATCAGGAGAGACTTGAGTTTGAATACCACTCTGCCACTTACTAGCTATGTCAAATCAGGAGCAAGTCACTACACTTGTCTGGGCCCCAATTTCCTCCTCTACAGAATAAGGATAACACCTGTTCTACCAGCCTCAAAAACTTAAATAATAGAAAAGTGCTTTGGAAACCTTAAAATTTATAGAAATGAGTTTTTATCATGCCCATGTATTAACAACTTCTAATGACTCAAGATGTCCCTAACTAAAGTCTTCCTGAGATATAAAGACTTAATAAAAAAGAGTGACTCCAAATGCAAGGTTGGCAGGGGATATATGTAGAAGGTGGTGATGGGGAAGCCTTTTGATGCCTCAAATCACATGAGCCACCTATTTCACAAGGTGTAAGGGTATCTAGTTTGGAGAGGAAGGGTAAGAAGGGGAGAGATCAAGGTGAGATCAATACTAGGCTTCCAATTTAATGTGATAGAATGTCCAATATACTTTTCTACACATGCCAGTTAATCAGTGACAACTTTATCTCCATCTGATTTCACCAATAGGTGGTTCTTGGGACATGCATAGTAGGGACTTAGCCCAAGTCTTTATTTCTTTCCTATACTATTGGAATAGTTTCTTAACCCCAACCTGCTTTCAATCTATCCTATACATGCAGCCAGACTGATCTTCCCAAAGCACAGTTCCAATCCATTAGAAATGAGCTCCTTGGCATCAGTGACTATCTTTTGCCATTCTTTGTATATCCAGGGCTTAGCACAGTGTGGCATATAGTAGGTGCTTAATAAATGCTTCTTGACACTTCTAGGGCTGTATCCCAAAGAGATCATAAAAATGGGAAAAGGACCCACATGTACAAAAATATTTATAGCAGCTCTTGTTGTGGTGGCAAAGAATTGGAAATTGAGAGGATGCCCATCAATTGGGGAATGGCTGAACAAGTTGTGATATATGAATGTAATGGAATACTTTTGTGCTATTAGAAATGATGAGCAAGCTGACAGACCTGGAAAGACTTGTATAGTCTGATGCTGAGTGAAGTGAGCAGAACCTGGAGAACGTTGTACACAGTAACAGTCAGGTTGTGCGATGACTAATCGTTAATAGACTTAGCCCTTCTCAGCAATGCAAAGATCTAAGACATCTCCAAAGGTCTCATGATGGAAAATGCTATCCACATCCAAAGAAAGAACTATGGAGTTTGAATGTAGATCAAAGCACACTATTTGCCATTTTTTTCTTCTGTTTTGTTTTGTTTCCTCTTTCTTGTGGTTCCTCCTATTGGTTCTAATTCTTCCTTACAACATGACTAATGTGAAAATATGTTTAATAGGAATCTATATGTAAAGCCTATATCAGATTGCATGCCACCTGAGGGGAGAAGGGGGAGAAAAATTGAAAACTCAAAAGCTTATGGAAGTGATTGTTGATAAATCAAAATAAATTAATAAAAAATTTTTTTAAAAAATAAATGCTTCTTGACTTCAGTAATGTTTGTTGGCTCTCTACTGCCTATTGCCCAAACTCCCTTGTCTGGCATTCAATGCCCCAACTTCCCTTTCCCCTTATCTTTCATTGTTCTCCCAAATAGATCCTCCATTCTACCCAAACTATTCTGCTTTTTGCTCTGTGAATATTTCCTACATTCCTGCCTTCACACTTTTTCTCACATTGTTCCTCTCCCCTATGTCAACAATGTCTTCTCTCCATCTAACAAAATCCAATGCAGTCTTTATAGGTCAGATTCAATCCCATCTCTTCTTTTTAAGGCTTTCCTGCCCAGCTTGGGCACAAATGATTATTTCTTCCTCTTAACTCTGTAAAACATTTACTACCCATACAGTCTCTGGTATTTGTCATATAGTTCTGCCTCATATTTGAGTATGGAAACTTTTCATTAGTACATATTCTTTCTTCCTAACTAGATAGAGCAGTCTCTAGGATGAGAATCAAGGCAATGCCTCATATATCCTAATCCCTCTGACAGAGTCTCATAAGCGTTTGTTGGTAGTGTTGAGAGTGGTGATAAGATAGATTGCCAAATATTTGCTGTGGCTTTGCTGAAGGAACTATCAATTAATCAACAAACCTTTAGTATGCACCTACTATGTGCCAAGGTATTGTGCTCAGTGTTGGGGATACAAATGCAAAGGACAAAATAGTTCATTCAAATACATTCAAGGAACTTACATGAGTACAGTAGATAGGAGCACTGGGCTTAGAGTCAGGAAAACCTGAGTCTAAATCCCACCTCAGACACTTATTAGCTGTTTGACCTAAAGCAAGTCACTTAACCTCTCAGCCTCAGTTTATTCATCCATAAAATGGGAATAATAATAGTTCCTATTCCATGGGATTGTTGTGAGGGCCAAATGAAATAATATATGTACTGTTCTTTGCAAGCGTTATGTTTAAATGCTAGCTTAGCTATTGGTGTATTCTGTCTACTGTAGAACTAACTTAAAGGTCTATCTATGAGTGTCCTGAGAAGATAATATGTACCTTTCTGTACATGTTGGCTAAAGTACACCCCTGTCCAGAGGCAGAAGAATGACTTTAATGGTCTCTATTCAGCACCCTCAGTCACAAAATTCATGAAATAATAACTAATGTTTATATAGGACTTGATAGACATTTTCTCATTTGATCCTCAAAGCAGCCTAGTGAAGTAGGTAATAGGAATAGGGTTTAGACCTGTAATTTCTGTGGTATATGGAATTCCCAGGTAAGAAAACTGTCTACCAATGCAGGTTGGCACCTTCTCTGCAATTTATAATCTTAGAGGGGC